GTGGTAGCAGGCAGCATTTGTCAGTCAATCAATTCGACCATAGGCAAGCGCAACAAACGCATCACCCAATTGTAGGCCACAACATTTACCAATCCAAACAACCCCGTTATCGAATTTATCGATGATGCAATGGATAGCTACTGTGCAGACGAGAACTTACAATCTCCGAGTTTCCATGATCCTTCATTTTTGAATGGTCGCCGTACATGTTCATTGTCTCATGACGTGAATCTATATACAATGAATTTCTGTTTACATGAGCTAAAGGTGAACGCCTTTACTCTACGAAACGCCACTGTTTCATTCCCGCACAGGCACATACCCATTTAATCCCGTTTGCTCATTCTGTAAAGCGCTTTGGAGCAATATTACTCCAGATCTTACTTGGTCCACAAACACAAATCAATCNGCCTCCCAACTGGTTTACTAGTGTATCACTCTTTACTAGCTCCGGAATGGACTACCGCATTTTACACCGATGCACAGGCGATGAAATCCAGTATATAAAATTGAGTCAAATTCTGTATTACTCTGGTGTAACTAGTAGCCGAGCTGGAATGTTTCCAATCAAGTTATAATCCTGGATGTTACTGCTAAGGTGAACGAGGTGTGATCTATCCATAACAAGATCGTAAAAATGGGATGTGATATGTCGCGTTCGTGAAAATTGAAAAACGGTCTGATCAGTGATCTAGTAGTCAAGTGAGCAGTATGGCTTGCGTTCTACCTGTGAGATCTCAGGTTCGATGGATTCACACGGCAAATGAGACGCAGTCAAACGGAAACAACTGTCCAGTGCTTCCTAGCTTTTTAGCTCACGCTTCATTTGTTCTGCACATGACAAAACCCACTGAATAAACATCATGTCGTTTTAATTTCTTTTTAATCAACATTATCATGAATTCATTAAACAGAAGCTCCTTCATCTATTGACTGTTGACACGATCGATATTCGACGAGCGCAACACGGAAAATCCCAATGCGGTGTGAATGAGCACATTTTTTTATTGGGTTTGTGAAAGTGCATGAGCTCTTTGCTCCACTCGTGTCGCCATTACTAGAATTCGCTCCCGCAATCATCATCACCACTCAAATGTGAATCAGTTAATTGTAGTCGACAACTCAGGGGAACCTTAGCGGTAGCATTCGGAGGAAGATAGTGGTGTATAGAAAAAAAGCAGCGTTTGGCCTCTGTCATTTGCACCATTTGATTCTGTTCATAAGGGACAGATGAGCCGAGTTCGAAATGTCGGATTGTCGCAATTTTGCCGAACCGCTTCAATTTTCGTATCTAATTTACTCGCACACAAGACCGTTTTCACTCTGCAGATAAATACGGATAATCATATGGGAATGTTTAAGATGACCAACAAACAGCACCGGACAGCTGTTCCGTCCTGCTTGGGACCCGTCAGCAGTGCATACTTTCTGTGTTCCTGTCAAGATCCGAACCGTGAACGTTCGGGTTGAGACTTCAAACCCTTACCCCTGAGCTACACGATCGACGGTTATCAACTTGTGCGAGCGGCTCAATCAATTTAGACGCTTGAGGTTTGGATTAGTCTATTTGGTTTTTTCACAGGCACCAGACACTGTTGATGATCTTGGATGTGGATTTCACTCCACGAGGTAAATGCGATGGCAATGTTTGTGAAGATCGGCGAACCCAAACAATAACCGTCAAAATTGATTGAGCCATTGGCACAAATTGGCCGTCTAGCCCAGGAGTAAGGGTATGGAGTCCCGACCCGAAAGTTCGCGGTTCGAGTCCTGGCAGGAACACAAAAAGTACGCACCATTGATGAGGCCCAAACTGGACGGAGCAGCTGTCCCGTGCTCTGTGTCGGTTACCACAAACATTTCCACCGCATTTAAATGCATTCAACTAGTGGGGAATTAACGATTTCCAAAGGAGTGAAACACACCCAAGAACATCAACAGTGTCTGTGAAAAAAACTGCATGGGCTAATCCAAACACTAACCGTTTAAAATGAATATTTGTAATTGGAAATACGTGTGGCGGTAAACAAAGCGAAAGCGGCTGCTGCTCGGGCGAATTTCGAAAACAGAGTCGCAGGAACAAATTCAACATGATTACTCAGCACTGATGATATTCACGTCAAATTGCTGAATGACCAATATAACAGTCAAGATAACGGAATTGTGAAGTCTCCAGAGTTGACGCTATTTTCAGATCTGCCACCGGGTTTTGAGAATGTGTGTGTGCGCCAGGCAACGTAAACACAATGACGGAAAAACCGAAGACAGAAATCTTGTGTATCACCGGAAGTTCTTTAATATATATATATGTTTATATGACATGATCAACAAAAACCGCCATTACTGTACGCGAATGTCCACCTGGTGATAGGAAACGACAAAAAAGGGGAGGGGGTCTCAATCAGAAATAATCGGTTTTTGCCCGGCTGGAAAGATTATTCAGAAGGATGATGCGGATGAGAACAGAGAGAGAGAGAGAGAGAGAAATAGGCACAAACCAAACGATTGTGTGTGTGTGTGTATGGAGAGGAGAAGGCAATTGTGAATGAAAGAAAATAAATAAATAAATAAAACTGTCCCCTGTTCAACTGATACGTATAAGACAGAACGGGCACTGGCAGACCACGCCGGGAACGGTTCGGCCACGAACGGACGATAGCATTGGCGCTGGACATTAGCAGAAATACGAGTCCGCATATACAAGAGAGCACAGCCAAACAGATGCGGTCACCTCGGAGTTCTGGGTATGGTGGGCAAATCACGCTATAGGTCAGCTTTGGAGAAGCCGGAGAAAATGAACTGTACGCGTTTGGTTCGGAAGGAGTTGTCAGGTACACAAAATGTTTGGAAATGACTGAAGACAGACAGACAGACAGACAGTCAAATGGATGGTTCTGCACCAGAATCGCACATGCACACACAAAGCGTATTTAGAAATTTTGACAAAGCTCGGAAATATACCTTTGTAACACAAGGAGTGCTGGAACGCGGGTCAGAGGTGGTGGAGGGGGGGGAGGGAAGGAGAAAAATAGAAAGAAACCACGGAAAACCTGTTCACGCAAACCACGTCATGCCGAGGTGTGAACACATAGACACACCCACAGAGAAGAACAAGTTGGACAGGCTCGACCGAACACAGACAGCACACACCTCTCCGAATTGAGAACGAGTACTAGTCATGTGTATTACGTGTGTGTGTGCTCGCTGTTCGTCAATGCGCGTCCGATCGAATCAAGTGAAGGCGGAAGCCAGTGGCATCGGTTCGTGATGGAACTGAGTTGGCAGTTCTGCCGGACCGGTGGTGGTGGTAGATAATCGCTCGGTATTTGTCGGGACACTCGGAACGGCCTTGTTTGTCATGGTACTGCTGCTGGTGTCCGACGACGGTGCGTCCACCGCACGCAGTCGTTCCAAAGCCGATTTGACTAGGTCAATGTGAGTCTAAACACAGAAATCATATCGGTGAGCGAGAATGACTGTAGATCGTTGAAAAAAAAGGATTACATGGAGTGAAAAACAAACAATCGGACGTCTGAAAAAAAGCTGTTTGGAGGTATTCGAGCGAGCAAAGAAATCAAGTGTCACAGAGATATGGGGGACAGCTAAGAACGAATTCAGTTCACTCCAGAACTACGGTTCACGTCGTTCCCTCTCTCTCTCTCTTTTAACCAGTTATGCACTTGGTAAAGGACTGAGCGCAAAAGAGTGAAAAGGCTCAAGAAGAAAATTGAAAAAGCCATTCACGATGGTGGTAACGTTATACGTTATCACCCCGAAGGATGTGTGCGTTCAGATCCCAAAATCGCCACCTAACTTCCCCCATTCTCTGTGTGTTGCGTGGCAACCCTTAGATTGGCCGTTTCCCCCTTTCCTGAAAACTCTATCCATCACTCAGACGTACTCAATAAAAGGAGGTAAAATGGAAAAGCAAGTAGGTGAGTCAAGGTCCGACGTACAAAAGTTTAAACGGATGTCCTCTGGGGTGACCATTCCTGGATAGTATTAGTAGAGTACTATACGGGTCGTTAGATTGATGTAGTATTTGATAACCGAGGTTTACGTCTCCCCGTATTCGGAAGAATAGAGTCGGAGAATATGCAGCCTTTCATCGCAGGTTTTAGATTGTAACACTTTGGGAACCAACACAAAGCTCAGCGGCTACAGACAGAAAACCGAAGGGATTTTTCTATATCGATATTGTGAATAACACAGAGGAGATGATAATGAACTGGCCGAGCGGGACAGCGTTACGGTGCTCCTCAGCTGTTCATTTCGGAGTTATCTTGTTCCACGCAGACCAGCATTTAGTTTGATTGTATTGATGGCAGATCACCGTTACACTTCTATTTATTAATTGAGTAGTTACACAGGGTGCGTATTATTATTATTATTATTATTATTATTATTATTATTATTATTACTATCATCATCGTTAATATTGATTTTGACTGAAAAAATTGTCGAAAGGAGGACACCGGTGAACTCGAATAGTAATTATAGAAAAACAGATCGCCTATGATGGTACCAGAAGAACGATATGAGAAAAAAGTTATCAGAAAACAACTTTCATTGACTAGAAACAATACCAGGCGAAAAATGTATCAAATTGGGACAAATAAGCAAAAGGAAACGAACAATTTGAGCGGGTGAGATACCACATCTCTATGGTCACTTAAATTCTAAACACTTACAATTTCACTCCATGCGTTTTTGTACAAAGAAACTTTTGCCAAAGGAGAGCGACCTCAAAGATTTCCGACGTGAGGAGTTAGGATGGGAGTAGAACAGACTCGACTCAGGGCGGACCAGTGATACTTGAACAAGACCACCTGTTGAAGAAAGACTCTGAAAACCTAGCTGATAAATTCGCCCGTTCGGGAACCACTGCAAACTTTGCACAGTTTCAAAGTGCTTCTTCACTCAGGATAAATATTCTTGAGACCACGCTTGTGTCAGCAGTAGTGTTATAATTCCAGCAAACCGGTGATAGCTCGAGGAGAGTTGTTTATTGCGAACCGGAGTTAGGGTATGGACAATTCGGTGCATATTTCACAAGATACCTCATTTTGAACATGTCATCGCAATTCCCGGCAGCACGCCGGATAATGAATTGATATGACGGGGCTATGTGCAGCGAAATTTGGCAGTTAACTCGCACAGCGACCAGGAAATCTCTCAGACACAAAGGAATGCTACAAAAGCAGAATTGCTCGCTTATATCCAGAAACAATTAGAGGATTTCAACTTAGATCTATCTTAGTTTCCTGCCAAAATGGTTCCGTAGAAGGGTTTGGAAATTTTGGAACAAAATATCACAAAAACACCTGTAAACGGAAAAGTGTGGAACAGTCTCGCTCTGTTCGGTATGGCCATGGCGACAAACTCGTATTGGCTTTGTCGGGTAATTGCATGTGTATGAACGAATGGTCTCAAAAACCTCAGCTTAGTGCCTCCGAATACACCTTTCAATATCCGTCAGTCCATGCAGGTAGGAGTGTAGTAGGCGCTCGCCAAATTACAGCAGTGACTTCACTACTTTATTTGGCGACCGACAGATAGCAGGGCAAGACAGCAACATATAAAGTACAGTAAACTGGATAAAATCACACGGAAACTGACCTTGGCATGTTTGACCTGTAGTTCAGCCAGATCGATCAGATTTTTTTGAAAGTATTTGATTCGGCGTACCTTGAAATCTTCTAATTCTGTGCACAGACAAATGAGCAAAGATTCAAACAAGAGGGACTGGGTGAGTGTTGGTCGGATAATTTGCCTGCGAGTTTCAAGTACACAAGAGTTCCGGTGCAATAGCTACACACTTGAAAAATCTTTCATCACAAGTGTCCATCTTTCAGATTCCCTGTTAGCGCACAATTCTCGATTCATTCAGTTAGTTATACACTACCAGGTCAGATGTCTTCCTTAACAATAGTCAATCAGTTGTTGACCCAGTAGTTCCCAAGGGAGATCCAACATGGAATCCGCTCGCTTCAGTCAAAGCCAGATCAGGTCTGCCGAGCAGTTTCAGATACCCATCACTAAACGAGTAAAATTAGCTGCAATGAATAAGGACTGGGATTATGTGTAATATAATCCACAAAGAGTACTCAATAGATATCTCCCCGCCGTTGCGATTCGTCAGTAGTGCGCCTTGAGATCTGGTGTCCCTGACGGAACTCGAGCTACGAACTTCCCGACTGAGTCGAATCTTTGAGGAACTGTTGCTACACAGCAGATGGCTACAATGAATTACGATGCCACGTTGGATGATCAGGTGGCGCTGGCGAGTTCCGAAAAGAATAGGACAGCTGTTGAATTTTTTTATGGCATACCTTAGTATGATGGACAGCGGATGGGCTAAACCCCATAGTCAGGAGGACC